TATGTGATTTTCAGCACTTTCTTTAATTATTTGAAAAACTTATAGACCTATTTTATCTACTGCTTAAAAACTTTAAATTTCAATATGCACTATATCTTATGAAATACCTAATATAGTATGTTATTTCTAAAATGCTTTATACTTTGAGTCTACCGTTTATAGCATTAAACTAATGTTATCTTTTATTACTTCTCTGTATTTTTTCCTTCCTTTTCTTTACATATCAGCGTGTGGAATATGGATTATGTTGTTATTTCAGAGTTATTCTGAATATTTTTGTCACTTTAATCTATTTGATATGTTTGTCTATTCTTACACATATTGACATATAAATAGTAATATCATCAACATTTCCACATCAATTAATACGTAAGAATATTATATGACGATCAAGATATATTTGTATAATACGCTAAATTCGTACAATACATGATATCAATGCAGTGGTTATATTTGTGTAAAGAATAAGTTTCCTGAATTCTTGTAACATTTTTTAGAAATGCTTTTTATATGCCTGCATCATATAGCAATTTTACTTTCTATTTTTCCTTTATTTCTACTCTATTCTATCGTATATTAAACAATACAATATTTCTTTATAAAACATACATTGAATCGTAATTGCAACAAAATGCAATAAGAAACATCAAAGCTAACTTTAATTTTAATGTTACAAAACTTTTGATAATTAAGAAAATTAGTCTTTTACAGGGTGTCCCGTAAAGAGTGTAACTCCCGGAAATGGGGGGTTTCTGGGGTGACTCTGATCACATTTTTCCTTTACCAAAATGTTGGTTGAAGCTTCGTTTTTGAATTATTAACGAAAAACACTGGCCACTCACAGCGTCCGTAGAGCCCGCGCGCAGGCACGGGAGCGCAGAGACTCATCCGCGCGCGATCGTGAACAAACGACTGGCACAGCGTGGGTATCGAGGGAAGCGTGCGGCAAATGTTACATCGCCTTAAATTAAGAATAACGTGGAATTATTCGTTATTCATGAATAACAAATAAACCAATAAGTCGTTTAACACGTTGAATGCCGGACCAATTCTACGTAACTTGTCCACGGTGCCAAAAAGAATTTTTTATTCTAATACAACACATTGTAATATGTACAAATAATATGTGAATAGTTAGAAATAAAGCTATTTAAATATGCTGTGTGATGCATTAGGTGAAAATTTTACAAATACTACCATTTATTCAAATTAAATGCTTTTACTAATTTTGAGACCCCCGGTCACCGATCACTCCCACAAATACTACCATTTATTCAAATTAAATGCTTTTACTAATTTTGAGACCCCCGGTCACCGATCACCCCCACGGCATTCAACGCGTTAATAACTGTTTTCGATACTTTTATTCGTTATCCGAAAGGAATAAAGTGTTTTATTACTTATGAAAAACTTAACCATTCGTCCACGAATTAACCTGCTTCTACGGAAGTGGGTCATTGTGTCGATCCTGACCTTTCAAGGCAACCCTCAACAGCTGATGGTACGACCGGGTCAGTGAACTCTTTGCGGATAACGAATAAAAGTATCGAACACAGTTATTAAACGACTTATTTGTTATTCACGAATAACGAATAATTTCACATTATTCTTAATTTAACACTTTGCCGGCCGCACATTTTTCGCATCGCCGTTAGGTATGTATTGTTATACAACCATCGGAATGACGGCAAAAAATCATTCTCTAAGCCTTATAAAAATAGTGGTGTAAAGTCACATTTTTCTGACAGTAACCGATAACCGAGAAGTCGCGCATACTCGTTTGTTCACGATCGCGCGCGGATAAGTCACTGCGCTCTCGTGCTTGTGCGCGGGCTCTACGCGTGCTCTGATTGGCCAGTGTTTTTCGTTAATAATTCAAAAACGAAGCTTCAACCAACATTTTGGTGAAGGAAAAAGTTGTTCCGTCACTCCAGCAACCCCCCATTTCTAGGTGTTACACTCTTTACGGGACACCCTGTATATACTCGTAAGGGTGCATTTATGTACCGATATTTTCCATATATTTCTCGCCGGTCATAACGTCACTTGGTCCACGGATGCAATATGTTTGATACAGGAGGCCTGTTGTTACACTATGTTATAAACATTATTAGATGTTATTTAGTATCTAAAAACTAACTCCAAAATAGGTATAATGAAAACTTTGATATGGGTCAAAGAGACTCAGAGACATCCTGTCGTCGCTATTTGCGGGTTAAGATTCAAACGCTGCGTCAGTTTGAAATGTGTAGTGATTAATAACGTCGCTTGGTGCGCTGTTTTGTGTATTGATGTCCACGCTCCGCAACTCATGCGAACCAGACACGAGGTCCACGTTCTGCGATTCTCATGCGCACTACTCTTTTCAATTTCCAGTGCTGTAATGTATTGTAAGTACCTTTACGGAGTGTGCATTCTTAAATGCGTTAATATAAATTATACAACGGTATGGCCGAAGAAATAAACAAAGAAACTCGATAACATATATCCTAAACTATCATTGACTGCTATTTATAACTCGTAACTACGCAAATAAACATTGCTAAGGTATGAAACACTCGCTTTAAAAGAAATTTGTATTAATGAAGAAATGCAGGATATCAATCAAATTTATCTTTAAATAATTTTATATGGAATCATTAATTTAATTGAAGTTTTATTATTTAACAAAAGCATATTAACATTGAATAATGAATATCGACGACGCTTGAACATTCATTTCTTTGTCATTCTCTTATTGTTATTAAGTTTATTTATTGTTCTATAAAAGATCTAACGTTTAGATTTTCTTACTCATTTTAAATATACATATTACACACGTGCCTATGTTCACGATGCACACGTCAGAGACGCGTATGCGACGAAACATCGCTTGCTGTACGCTTCAGAGCAGCGACCAATATGAAACAGGGGATGTCTGTTTACTTCGTAAAATGCATTCGTCATGACGCCTAGCGTACTTTGCTGCAGTCATCTGTATACGAAACGTAAGGTCCATTTTTGTAATTGACGCAAACCTAGCTGTATTCTTCGTGAATAAAAGTCTCCCATATCTCATATGCTACGTAGCACTGAAGCGTACAGCAAGCGATATCGTGGACAAAATCAAAACATAGCCGCCTCATATGCTACA